ATTGATAATAGCTATAAATTGGCCTTTTTAATTTCATTGGATAAGTATTAACTGTATCAATTGCTTAAATATATCCCCCAAAGTTTTAAAACTTTGAGTACAAAGACACAATTTTACATGCATTATTTTCAGATATGAGTTCATGCAAAGATGGACGTTGCTGCACCAAAGTGTACCTGACTTTTAGTACATGCTGAGAAAATCAACATGTTTAAAAAAAGTGTTACAAATTTTTTATTAAGCTAAACCAAACTATTCTGAATAGTTGAATAAAGCTATATATAGCTAAATAAAGCTAAGTAGCTTTCTGCTTAATCAAGAGATTGTGCCTGCAGACCTAGACAAAGTAATTATTGTAATAGTCCCTAGTTAGGATACTTGTATACTCTGACACTTCTCAGTACAAATATATTCTTTATGATTATTGTTGTATTATATTGATTTCCTTTTCAAGCTTTATTGCAATACATTCCAGACTGAAGTCTTTTACATCACGTGACCCAAGCAACGAGTCCACAACCCAGTACTCGAAAACCTCTTTTAATTTAGATGCTGGAGCAGATTTACTTCAAAGGTATAGCAATGTACATGATGTAATGAACATCCTCTAACAAAGTACTTATGCAATAATTTGTGCATAACATTAAGCAAGTTAGTATTATTTTTGGAGGATCTTTAATCAAGCCAAATAAAAGTAAAGGTTAGTGAAAAGTAATTGAAATTAATTATCATGTCAAGAAATTACCCTAGTAGTTGTGTTTTAAGAAACAGAATAAGGAGTAATGCAAAAATTAATCCTTGCTCTAAATTGTTTAACTTAGAATCACTTGCAGCTGAAATGTAGAAATGTTTAGGAGCATTTTATCTTAAGGAATTTTTCTACTTTCAGTAATAATGTATTACATGTATGTACCCTTTTTTTTAGTTTTTCTACATTTTTTGATTTAGCCATTTAGTTTGAAATTTATCATCTAGATTTTTGATGTACCATTTGGGTTAGAAATCACTACCTATATAGAAACTCAGCACCAAGGTCCTGTCATGTCTTTTTATAGACTTAATAGACTAGAGAATTTTCATGATAAATAAATTTTAATATTTTTTAAAAAATCAATAAACATAGTTAGGATTATATTATGGTTTGTAGATATCAATTGATATGGAAAGAGCTACAGGATAATACAGAACAGAATGCCAGACAAGCTGAGGTAATGAACATTTCTATACAAGAGTACCACTTTTTATATATATGACATAAAAGTCTTAGTAGTAGGGTTTTCTAGAAATATAATTTGTTTCTCAAAGAGAAGATTCATATGGACTCTTTCTGGTTGTTATTTGTTAATTCTCTTTGCTTGTTCCAAGTGAAACCCTCTATCTTTTATAGACAGATGATTAACATGTATATATCCTCTCTTTGCTTTTTAGTTTTTACGTGTCAAAATTGAAATTTTAGTCCTATAAAAGCACTAATATGTTTTAGAAATGTTTAGGAATGAATTTCTTTCCATCTCTCATTGATTTGTACACATTTTGACTTAAAATAATTTTTTTGATCTACATGTATAAAGAAGTAATTTTTTTTATGAGATGTGAATTTCAACCTGGCTGGTTTCTTTGGCTAACCACTTAGAGCTATATACCATCCATATGCATAAATTTTCAATTACAAGACAATTCTGTTGTACACCTGGTACACGTAAATTCTCTTCTTTTAAAACATGATTAATTAAATCAGGTGATAAAAATTTATGTATTTTTTCAGGAGGTTGACATATTGGTAAACAAGTTGTATGTGGAGTATGACAGACAGAATGAAATTCTGGGCAGACTTCATGAAGGAGCAAAAGCACTTCCTCTCATACTGAGTGACCTTCAGAATCTTACAGATGTCCTAGGTAACCCTTGTAACTAAAAAAAGATGTCCAATATAACTTACTGATGTTTTAAGTATAACTAAATAAAAGTTACTGTAAAGTTGATCAATATCTTACCAATGTTTTAGGTAACTAAAAGAAGCTTTTAAACAACTTACATGTACCAATGTTCTAAATATTTAAAATGAATTTAAAGTTCTGAATTGTGTTGTAGCGATCCTTGATGAGGAGTATGACAAAGTTGAGGCAGTTTTCAAATCTGATACAGCTAGAAAACATCTGTGAGGAGCAGGAGCGTACAGAACGCTCAAAAAACTACTACACAGGACTCCCAGAAGTTAGCAGCGTATCGCAACAGAAAGATGGACGAATTAGAAAAACTAAAAGGTATACTGTGTATGAAAGTAAAATACAGATTTTATGGTTTAGCATAATTAAGAGAATCTTCTTTTTAAGTTGAAAGACACATTTGATGATGAATATACTGTAAACCAAGTTTTATTTGCAAGGACTTTATTTCGCGATTTCCAAGGGGTAAAATGGTTCGCGACGATTAATTTTCGCAATCAAGCCTTTTTGAATCTGTTGTTAATAGACACAGAGATTTTAAGGACCGGTTCGCAGCGAGAAATTTTCGCGATGATGAGGCCCTCACGAACCTCGCAAAAATTTCTCGCAGATGAATAAAAGTTGGTTTACAGTAATCACGATTATTAAGCATTGAACATTAATTGTTGTCACTATTTGTGTTACTTATGTTTGTTGCATTTAAAAAAAAGTGTCATATTTATACATTTATTGCACTTTCCTCTCAAGCCGGAAATCACATTTACTGTAAATGAAGTATAACTGGTGTGAGACTTTTTTTTTTATAATGACTTCGAATTCAAAATGGACACATGCATGTACATAATACTTAACCTAGACAATACAATCCAACTTTTATCACAGTGAATATTTTCTGCATACTAATTAATCAATTTCAGTTCAACTTGCAAAAGAGCATGTTAAAAAGATGCAAAAAGTAGAGAAACACAAACAGATCAAACTGAAAGAACGACAAGAAGCATTTCAGGACGCATTTGACCAGGACGTAGACTATTACAGAACCCACGGCAGACTAGAGCGTGAGTCACAATCATGCACATGTGAAGTTAAAAGTTGCAAGTTGTGAGGCACAAACTTTTATCATAAATCTTGAAAATAACAAACTAAGTTATATTTATAGGAGTAAAAAGAATTAATTCAACAGCACAGATTTGAATTTTAATTTTCATTCAGAGTTTCTCAATGATATGATTTCAAGTGACAGATATTTGTATAGATTAATAAGGATGAATTCAGAAAGGTTGAATTTTGAACATTATTGAAAATTTACAAATTCTAAAATTTTATTTCTGTGAAGTCACATTAATTACAACCAAATAGGTCAAAAAATATATACCAATCCAGGCATCCATATTTTTGTTTGTATCATCTGTCCATATAAGAACAGATGATGCAAAAAAGAAAAAAAATGGATGCCATGATAGGTTTATATTTTCAGGCTTATTTTGGTTGTAAATGATGCAAATAATACATTTTCAAAATATTGGAAACTTCTATAAAGTTCAAATTCTACCATTCTGCAACTTACCATTCTTATTAATCTAGACCAACTTTTCATCACTTTAAATTCCATTATTGTGAAACTTTGAATGAAAAATTGAAACTCCATGCAGTTGCTTACATATTTAAGTCACTGAACACGAATTAAGTTGTTATTTTGAAGATTTTTGACAAAAGTTTTAATATGTCCCTATGAAAATGGACAAATTTACGCTTATCAATGGAAAGTCTTCATCAATGTTGATTTATATATTTAAGGTTTATCAGTGTCTAGTTCTGACAGTGGGAAGAAGGCAGATTTAGGAGACATTGTTGTAGACTCGGACCCTGAAGGTCTGGACGAATTCCTTAATGACACAGACACCACTCCCTCAGCTGAAACAGGTTTGTCCTGTATATTGATCATTGAATAAAACAACAAAGGATTAAGATTATTGACAAATTCTCATTTTATAGAGTGATGTTTCACTATAAAGCTGGATATATTTTCTCTTGGACATAGTGATCTTTACATGGTAAACTCTTATATAAGTAAACTCAGTAATCAGCCGAGTTTTATTATCTCGATGATTGTATTTGGAATGAAGTTGCCTGGTCTATATATGTAGAAACCACTGTATTTTCTTGTTAAAAAAATTTCTTGTTAGTTTCATTGACCAATTCATTGAAAAACTTAAAAACTTATTTTTAAAAATATTATTTAACATGTCTATGGTAATTAAAGTTCAGTTTGTAAATCCCTGGTTTAAAACACTGCACTCATATGTTAAACCCTTTTTTGACATGAAGATTCACAAACATTGCAAGTAAACTAGGGGCCTGTTTTTACAAAGGAACTTACAATGTAGACCAAAATTAAATTATGCTGATTACTTGGTATTTTACATTGATTTGAAAAGGAATTCATTCTTTTTAAAAACTTAAAAGAACAAACATGTTATTTTTATGTTAGAAATTTCTAACAGAATCATAAATATTGCAAAATTTTTCAATCAGCTTACGTTTTTGGTCTAAGTTTTTTGTAAAATGGGCCCTTGGTTTACATTTTCAGTCTTCCTGATTTCATTTTTTATTTCGCAGTAACACAATCAACAGATAAAACTGAGGAGACGGTCAGTGATGATGAGGATCCAGTTGTAGTGAGGAGTACTGATGAGGTCGACATTGAGGATGAGTACTATGAAGACGACCTTGGGGCCTCCCACGGGGACCAGGAACAATATGTAGATTCTGAGGAAATGACGGGGGAAAGTGATGTAGAAAAAGTTATACCAGGGAAATCAGAGAGTGAAAGTTAACTTCTGAAGACATTGAAATTGAAGATAAAAGAAATCATACTCCTGTTGTATACCAGTTAAAATGTTAAAAAAAACCCATATATGATGATCTTTGACCAAATCCAGAGTACATAACTTTCTTGAGTTATAATTATTTATATAATAAATAACATTCAAATTATGTAAAACTAGTTTTGTTGCAGAACAATAAATTCAATAATAGTCAATTATAACGCATGTAAAGACTAGTTTATTGTAATGCATGTAAGGACAAGTTGCACAAAGAAATATCTGAGTAAATATTGCATTTTTAATGCTCACTTCTTAGAACTAAAGTGTGGAATGAAAATCAGAATAAATGACTATAATTATGTATAATTTTCACATATAAACCAAAAAATCAAAGCATATAAAGTCAAACCAAAGCATTCATATATACAGCTGTACTAGGTCACAAAATTTTAAAACAAAATTTTCCACCAATATGTACATACTGTGTATGAAGTAGAATTCTCACATTTACAGGGGTCCAGAGTACTCTCATGATTGTAGAACTAAGGACCCCTCAATGATGCTGTAAGGATATACAATGTACAGTGTATATACATGTATATATAATCATAAAAGAAAAAAATGCAGTTTCCAATTTTCATTCCACAAATCGCTTTATGAATTTAATAACTGCCTTCAGGCAAACATACATTTGAACTGCATTTTTTTTCGTATATGATTATTTTTACTGTGTGACACCATCTTTGCACTACTTTTGAATATATAGATATAGTAGTTCACTATATTAAGTAGATTTGATTGTACATTTGCCTTGCATTGGTAAACTGTTCTTACTGTAGAGCAATCAAGCCTACTTGTGGACCTTTTGCATAACTTTATATTTTATAATAATTCCTTTTTTCTGTACAAAATAATGCATTGTTCAGTTTTGATGTATGAGGCTGGGCAGCTCATCAGTCATGTAGCTTAGTCACCAAGTGTTGTTTCAGATTCGAAATATCTTTTAAATGGATGATCAGTTTTAAAAATCAAATCCTTACATTGATTCCTGCTCTTCAGGTGTCTTAAATCAATGTCATCTACCTTAACTGTAAATTCTTCTGGATCATCTTTAGGTCTACAAATACTAAGCATTGTGTGCAATTCACAAAATTTTAAAACCATGCTGATATCCTCTTTAGATATACATTGAAAAAGCGCAATTTGAAAAATTTCATGTGAAATTTGAATGGTATCTCCTTCTTGATGTAAATATGCAGCAATATCGGTTTTACTAACATCATTAAGGTCCTCTTTATTGAGAGACGTAGGTAGCTCCTTTGCCCATTCTTCTAAAGCATTGCCTTTGTGATATTCTCTTACAAATAAAATGTACAGCAAGATGGAAAAGGATTTGGAATCATCTGATTTTAAGCTTTGGAAATTCCTTATTCCGTACTAAAAAATCTATAGTTTTAGTTGGAAATGCTTCATTGAAGAGATTGTGATTTTTTGCCAACGCCATCAGTAGAAAAGGATCTCCAACTTTCCCTGAATTACTCTTCAGTTTAGTATCTACAGGTGAGAAGTCATTTTTTTTATACCAGCAGTCCTTATGTGACGAACATCCTTTCTCAATGGTCGTTTTGAAAATAAGGTACAGTTCTGCTGATTTCAATCTGTCCATTTCCACCGTAAAATTCCGGTTTTTCAGCGATTGAAAGTTTTCACGTCTGTCCTTTTCAAGCTCTTGCAAAACATGATTGTGAACAGATACTAGTAACTTAAACTTTTTTGTCTTTGAGTCTCCCTGGCACTGTGAGCATTCTTCAAGCAATTCTTTTATACTCTTCAATTGTTCTAAGGTAAAATATTCATAGGCCACTTCCCCAAACAAGTTATCACAGCAGAGAAGCACTTTTTGCTTATATGTGGGAAGTGGTATCTTTTCTGTCCACTCCACTTTCCAACCCTCTTTGCGATATTTCTCTGCAACGTATTTCAATGCCTCCGATTTACCGGAGCCTATAGCACCACTGCAGACGACCAGGCCCATCTCTTCCAACTTTTGAATGATATAATTTACCTTTTTTGTCAAAACGAAATCTTTGCCTCCTTCACAATCAGGTTTCAGTGGTTTCCCTACAAAATGTTGCAGAAATGAATTTGCTAGAAAGCTTTATGATTCTCAGTTTGGCACATTGATAGGTTGGAAAATTAGTTTTGAATGTAAGAGAATCTTTGTAAAATATACCTCTCCTTTGTTTAGAATAAAGTAAAAAAAAACAAACAAACTATTTTTACGTTTTAAATCTATGAGAACACTTTTCATTAATTATAAAAATGATATAAAAGGATAAATGCTCGTTATAATTACATTATACGTAGTTTATATAATGTGATTTTTCAGGAAATGTTCAACAGATCATTTAAAGAGAAATAATACCAGTGTACATTTAAACATTATGTATAACACCATTTTTCTTCTCTTAAGTTTAAAAAGGCATTATTTGATAATTCCAATGCCTTTACAAAATTCATAATTTGTTTTAGGTTTCTTGTATATGAAGCATTCCACTTACAATTTATTTTTTCTTTGGATCCCATATTTTCAACATTTTCGATAGGCATTTCCCCATATTTAATTCGTAGTCGTTCGAATGTTTCTCTGATCATCTTTTCATCCACATCACCGTCACACATTCCATTCCAAAGAATTCGAATTCTGGCGATATCAGCTTCAAGAGAGACATCTTTGTCGAAAGGTTTACTTTCCCATCCTTTCGTTGGTTTTTCAAAGCCGCACAGATTTGTCAGAAATATAAAGACAGTGGAATTTGTTAATACTTTAAAGTCTTCTGTTTCTAACCCCTGAACCTCAGCACTATTGAGGTCATTCATGAAAGATTTTTTGTATAGATATTTTGTTTCCTTCACTATTTCTTTGATATCGATGTTGCATTTTTTGGGTAGTTCTTTCAGGAAAAGCACAAGAGAATATAGTTTATTTACTGCTTCCAGTTTCTTCTCACTTTCAACATTTCTATTATCTATCAATCAAAAAGAAAACGTCTAATGAATTATATAATTTCAGAATAAGATATCATTAGAAAGAAAAAAAAATACTAGCATAAAATTACTGTAATCAGAGAAAGGAGGGGAAATACATTCTATACATGTATATGGGATACAGTTATTTAGTTTAAGAACGTTCGATCCTAAGCTTTTGAGCAGATTTTGGTCCTGTCCTTTATTTATGAAATTCTGCATCATTTTTACATTCTAACATTAAATCTAAATTCTACAATGCAAATTGAGCTACATTCAATGAAAAAACCGCAATTAAATTCCATTCACGCAAAGTTAAGTAAGCTAGGAACTATATTTTGTGGCGGAAGGTTTTCTTTTTAGAAGAAAATGACCAGTTTTTTCCCTTTTGAACTATAACAGTACTGTTAATTGTAGATTCCTATTTTCCCATGCTGGTTGCACAAAAAGCTGTTTTTTGCAGTGAAATGTGTTATGCTGGTTCTGAAATATCTTTTTAAGTATTTCTTGTGAATTATTTAAACAAAGTGTGACAAATATAGTAAATATATTCTGAAAATCCGGGAAAAAATTTAGCCAATTTTAATGTAAAACTGACACTTTTTTTGTAATATCTGAAAATTTAAATCAGATACCCCCACTTTTGATGTTCTTTTATAAATTAATATTTAAGATATCTTTGACCTGTTTGCTTAAATTCAGAAAAAGTGTAAGACTGTTAAATAATTTTCTTGCTTATTAAATTTTCAATGCCAGAAAAATCACATTTTATTAGTGCAGAAAGGTCAAATAATTAATTATGCGAGGCAATTTGAAACTTTTTCCTAGTCACAATTTTAAAGTGTCTAATTTTTTAAACAGAAGTAGAGTTCATTTTGTTTCATGCTTTAACTGAATAAAAATATTAGAGGGAAAACGTCGAAGAAGTGATTTTTAATTAAGACACAAATTTCAGTGCAAAAAGGTCATATTAAATGTACTGTAGCGCCAAAAGAAGCATACTGACCCCCATTTTTTTTTATTTGAAGTTTAACTGAGCTATGTATGTAAAAACTAAAAATATTCTTGGCAAAAACAGTTTAAGACTTTAAATATCAGGATCCAACGTCGTTAATTAAGAAAGGGCTTTATATGAATTTAATTATCATAATGGTACAATAGCAGAAAAATAATTTAAAACAAGAACTTCATGGGCCACATCGCTCACATCAGGACATTGGCTAAGAAAAAAAAAAGAAATCAGTTCAGCATTGAAAACTTAAAGATATACCGCTATATATATAAGTACTCGTGGCCATTGAGGCCCCAGCTTACTCCAAGGGTTTTAATTTGAACAAAAGTATACCAACACTGCCTGAGAATGCTTCCATATAAATGTCATTTTTTCAGACCCTGTGGTTCTTGGAAAGATTTATAATCTCATCTTGGAAGAAGGGCATGGTCCCTTATCTAAACAAGCTTGAATTCCCTTTACCCAAGCATACACATCTTCGCTGACCAAGGGTTTCTGATACGCAACTCTTCTCATGAATATGAGGAGAGTAGCGTATCAGAAACCTTTGGCCAACGAAGATGAAGGAAACATTAATTATATAGTGGCACGTTTAGTTTAAATTGGCCGAACAATTCTTGAGAAGTTGAAATTCTGAAAAGTTTGCAGATGGACAGACAGACGGACATCGGAAAACAGCAGACCAGAGAAACCTACTTAAGCCTTTGGCTCGGGTGAGCTAAAATGATTTCTGCCATACCTTTAAAGGTCTTTTTTCCCTGTGTTGGAGTCGTTGCTTTTATGAAAAAAAAATCAAGGTGAATAGAGGAATTTGTTCATAAGTAATATTTAAATGTCTTTTATGTTATAATCGCAAATAGTATAGAAATGTACCTTGATTCGGTAAAAATGCAACACCTGAAAAATAGAAATAAAAGCACATGTAAAGCTATTTATTCCAAACATTCTGCATGTATATTATATTGTGAAGATATAGGAAAAATGTTCATTAATGTAATTTAAGTTTGCTACTACAGAAAAACGTCAAAATTTAATCACTAGTAACTTATAGGTAACGTAAATTTTGACGTGTTTGGATCTTCTCGTATAGAAGGAATGTTGAACAAAACAAACATTAGTTTACTTCATATAACTAATAACCAAAAAAAATATAACACACATATTTATTTGTCTAAATAGGGTGTCTGGAAAGTAAATCGAGTGGATTTGTAGAATATCTTCAAAATTAATGAAACATTTTGTTTAACCATCTTTTCCTAACCTTCCAAGGGCCCTGACTCCTGGGAATTGCCAATGCAACCCAATCCTCTGAGAATAGTACCTGTTTCAAAAAAAACAATTGAGAAATATTTTTAAAAAGCTGTTTTCATGTTCTACTTGCGTAAGTTCTAACATAACGTCATACATGAACAATGGGGGCATCATAATATTTTTTTTTAACTCGGTGGGGAAAATTGTCCTTAAATGAAACCCTTCTCACTTTTAATTTACGTATCATAAGGAAACGTTTTGTTTGCACCATAGTATTTTGTTGGATTATGATTAAAAATTATTGCCGGGAATTATTTTGCAAAACAATAAAGTTTTAATTTTAAAGCAATTCTATATAGGGGAAATTCATTTAACACGAAGATAACAGTATGAAAGATGCATCTTTGAATACATTGTAAGCGGGAAACCATTTATTACATTAATTAAAATTATGTAGCTGCTTTAGCAAATTTTAAATTGAACAAATAGCTATTTTTTAATGATCAATGTTTGCTTTGGTTTCTTTAACCTAATAATGAGTATTGCATTCTTCCACAATTCAACACAAAAACAATTCATTAAATCATGTATAAAAATCTAATAGCTTAGCAAAAGACTACACAGGAAAAATGTCCACATGTGTTGAACATATGTTAAACATGTGTTTAACATATATTTTTTACACATGTAAAACACATAAAAGGAGCACACATGTATAGGGTGTTTATTTTTACACATGTTAAACATATGTTTCACATGTGTTTAACATGTGTAAAAATAAACACATTGTATATTTATACATATGAAACATGTGTTAAACATGTGTTTTATATATGTTATACTTTATATGTGAATTATACGTGTATAATATTACTGTTGTACTTATTATCATTTTTATACTTTTTTCATGTCTGTCCACAATGTGAATCATATGAAAAGGGCAGCATATGTAAGTCATATGAAATAGTTACATGTGTTCTCTTTCAATATTTATCACAAGGAAAAACACATTCTTGTACACATTTAAAAATCAGATATTTCTGCTTTAGATGAAAATCCATTACATTCCAGTGATCCATCTTCATGGGTTAAATATTTGAAAATTAATATCTTAAAATGCTTACACAACTTTTTTGATAAATTATTTTCATCAAGAGAAATAACTTATTTTTCAGTGTACTTTCTAAACAGGAAAGTATACAAACAAGTCAGTAGCATTTGTCGATACATATATTTTACATATTCTAAGTTGAGTACAATTATAAGATTTCCACAAAATGATTAAATAGTTAAACATGCATACATGTACAAATGAATAGCATAATTAGTCCATGTACTATTTTATAATTTATATGATTTGACATGAAAGTGTCCAAAGCGAAATTGAAATATCACATATAACATTTGTCATGTATTCTCTATTGTAAATTTATGAAAAATCAAGTTATTTGATATTACAGCATACAAATAAGAATGGGAATTAAATCTTTACAGGTCAAATGCAGACAAGATTGTGTACATCCTCCCAATTTCATAATTATTTCATATATTTTCTTGTTCTTTTTCCTTCTGTATCTTTCAGTTTTCTTCAGTTGACCTCCCTCTGATCTTCCATGAGCTTGACCATTTTGAACTCTCTTTGAACAGTACCCAAAATGCAAATCCACCATTTCTCCCTTTCCTGAACAATTTCTTTGTGGCACAGAATGGTCTCTACAAAAATTTCAAAAGTAAAAATAAAACAATTCTTAAATTACAAAATCATTTCTACAAGTAATATTAAAGTTCAGCAAACAAATGTATACCCAATTCACCAACAGAGATATGATAAGAGATAAAACTAATGTTATATATGCTATACAAGGTGTTTTGTGGAATCCTATGATGTAATTTGCAAGACAATTACACTGTTGGAAGATATGCTTCATAATAAAGTCATAAAAAGCATTTTTTTTTATTTTGACAATTAAATTTGGAATGTTCAAACAGTATTACTACCCCCCGGTAATTCATATTGCCAAAAATTAAGAAGATTCTGACACAAATATTTTATTTTTGGACAAAAAATATAAGAGAAGTAGACAGGCAGAAAAACAGACAATGTGATTCCAGGATATCCCAAACGTTGTTGGGAAGAATATAACAAAGTTTATTTAACAGTGTGTAGTTACCTTAATTCAGCTTTTAAGCAAGTCTTGGATCTTGGGATTTATTCTTATGAGACGCTGACTGTATATTGAACCTGTAAAACAAATAGTCATGCAGTAGATATCTTATAAGCATAACTAAAACTTAATTAAACTACAAAACTACAACTACAAAAAAGAGAGAGTACATGTTTGTAGGTTCTTAATAGTCTTAATTAATATCTTACATTTTACCAGAAACTATGTTCTCTTGTGTTGGAAAAAAATAATAAATGTCAGGTAATGAATACCGGTACATAATAGATGTAAATATCCAATGGATTAGCTAGCTGATGTACTTTCAACAATCAACACATATGCACATGTACTTGTACCTTGAAAGTTGGATGTCACTGTTATTATTAATTTTTAACTGAAATTCAAAAATTCAATACCCCCCCTCCCCCCTGAAGTCATTTACAGTACATGTACCAGTTTCATAGTTTTTAAAGCCAGCAAATTCTATCCATACTTTCCATATTTTAAAAGTGCACTGCATTAAAACTGTTTTATAATATAGAATAAAATTATTGTAGTATTGAGTTGGACTTATTATTTATGAAGTCGTGCAAACAATAATGTAAATTATAAAGGAACAAAAAGAAATTACAAAGTATCAAGAAATATTTTGTCATGAAGGAGTCATTACAGATGTTCACTTTGATTTTTTATTGCAAGTAGTATTTATTTTTACCTTTAACATTTGTTATATATTGTGAAGATGCAATCGTCTGTCAAATCAGCTTTAGGATCAATCGCCAGTCTTATCAGCTTTGGGCTTTTTAGACGCAGCAATGTGACACTGAACTCAAGTTACTGCATGCATCTATAGGCCATAAAAACAAACACTTGTTATTAAGTTGATGAAAGAATCGACTTGACAGCCATCTCAGCATACATAAACACCAACTGACAGTCACAATGGTTTCAAGGTTTCTACTTTCACTTTCATATCAGTACGTAACAAAAGGAAAACCAATAATGCCTTTAAAAAATAGCCTAACATGTAATGTTAACGTTCATTCAGAAACAAATTTATCCAAAATTACTTACATGTACCTGTATACAAATGATAAAAAATAGTCATGCCTTTAGCCTAACATGTAACCGCTTACATTCACGGACACTGGAAGTTAATAGAAATAATATAGTATGTGTATGTATAAAAAATAGAAGGGTCTTTTTTATACATACACATACTATATATTTACATTAACTTCCAGTGCCCGTGCTTACATTCATTCAGAAACATTTTTCACCAAAATTACTTACAGATCATGATCACTATCGTTAGGTTTACGAAATGCATGACAAGTCACAATGATAAGAGTATTACATGTATATAGAAAGTTCATACGCACCTGTAACTATAATGAAATGATATTTAAACAATATGAATTAAGTCTTTAAAAAATTGTTTGGAGATCACTTACCTTTCCAATACACCCAGCACGTCTGCTGCAGCAGTGACGTCAAAAATGACGTAAATTTTCATCCGATAAAAGACAAAACCGGCCCGGAGACAAATACGGAATTATTTTAATTTTACTCAAGAAGTAAGCCAAGCCCAAAAGATTTAAAATGAAAAGAAAATGAATTCATTCTTTATCAATTTTGTCTGATAAATGCATTATTACAGAAAAAAAATTGTTGTGAAAGTTTTTTTAAGAAGGGAAAGCGGGGGGGGGGGGGGGGGGGTAAACAAAGTAAAACTTTACATGAGTAAAATTTTACTAACATTTAACAAATTCTTTTGAATTAATGTACACACACATATGAGATAAAACTTAACATGTGTATAACATGTGTTTATGAATACACATATATTTTATATAAATTAAACATGTATAATTCATCTGTATTTTCGCACACATATATTACATATATATAATACGTGTTATACATGTGTGGTGAAAAACATGTGTTTAACATATATATTATCTCACAGGTGTATAACATGTGTATATTATATATGTTTTACATATAAATGAAACACATATTTTACATGTGTTTATTTACACACATGTATTACATGTATAAAACATGTGTTGAACACATGTGAAACCAAACATATGTTTAACACATGTGGACATTTTTCCTGTGTAATGAACTAATGTCTTCATAAGAAACACAGCATATAGTTAGTACTAGAAACATTAAATTTTTACATTACTTCTACGAAAACGGTCTCTTAATCCACAGTAGTTCTTCCAATAAGCAACCGCTAGTACTACTAGTATCAGTATAATAGCTATCCCAAGTAATGATATTACAACAGCTGCTATATTGACCTTCTCCCTGCAAAAACCAGGAAATGATTGCTAAAATACGAAAAAAAAATGATTTAAAAGAAGTGAATTATCTTTTTATAAAATATCAAATATCCCTATTTTTGATTGATCAAAACTTAAAGAATGAAAAATGTGAAATAAATGAACAGTAATTCATCTAAATACCGGTATATCTTACAAACAATGGCAATCTTTAATCATGAACAGGGCATAAAATCGGAACCCCAAAATTTTCAGAGTGGGATCAAGTGAATAGAAGGAGTAGACATTCCTTGTTGATCGAGCACACCCGCTTTGAGTCCCATATTTTTATTAGTACACAAATAATTCCCAGAAAAAAATATTGTTTAAAAACAAGATCTTACAAATAATGCAAAAGACGTTATCCAACCCAAAAATGACCCAAAGATGGTTCATTATTTCAAAGAAGATCATTATAACTACCATAGAATGTACGAGTTCTGACGTTAAATGGGGTTGCTGAAATCCCTGTAACATCAACTTACTGGTTTCATCTTACTGAGTAGCGAATAAGTTAGAATACATAAATAATGAAAGCTGAAATCATCTTATATATTATATAATTATAGTTCTTAGTTTGTGACTTTTACATACATAGTCAGTCAAACATCCAAATTTGAAACAGATTTGGCAATATCCGGGAGGTCTTTTATTTCACTAAGATATATGAATTTAAAAGTTACTATTGCTAAATAAAAATAATGATAACATTGTCGATGCATCTGAATGTCGACCTGTAGGCAACACTTAGTGTTTCTTCTCAAACAGAAGTATTTGACCAAATTCTGCTTCAAATGAATACAAAAACAAAGTCAGCTGAAAAAAGGAGCACACTTGGAATTCCAATAGATTAATGGAAGCTCTGGTCTCTGATTCTGAAGACTACACAAATATTGTCAATAAGGCACTCCAGCATCATTTAAACATCAACTTATTACTTTTGTGTAGAATAAGAATGACTAATCACAAGATACATGTAGATATAGTAGTTGTCTAGAATGTCAAAAAAGCTAGTTTAAATGGTCGATTATAGTCTAGAACGGTGTTTGATGTTTATGACTTTAGACAAATTTGATGATTTTAAATTTTCTGAATTCGAGAAAAGACAGGGTATCATGAACATGAACATGTAGAAGATTTCGTGACCATTTAGGTTAAAATGATAAAATGGAGACCGCAGTTACCATAAAATTTCTCTGTAAAATAAAGGAATTAGAATAACTTACGATGGAGATTGGGCTGTGTCGAAAGTTGTTCTCTCAGGATTTCTTGAATCTCTGTAAAAAAAATCTTATATCATGCACTCAATAAACAAACAAAATGATGTTAATATACACATGATACATGTATACGTTTTTCTTTACAATATTTGCAAGTTTACCTTTGGTCTTTGAATAAATTTTGAAAGCATACGGGATCTAAAAGGAAAAACAAAAATGAATTATCAGACATTAATATTTTGACGTGCTTGATTGCGATTGAAAGTTTTCAAAATATAAACTGATATCTATAGGATCGCCGCCATCAACTTCTTGATATCATAACTACTAGACTGGTATATGATTAAATCCTTACATTTATAGACTTCGTCAGAAGAATATGTTGAATTCGGACATTTCTCGCTGAAACTGCAGTTTTTCCAGTTAAGTTGTTCAGTGGATGTGATGTACGGACAATAACCTGCATCATATTAAGCATCGATCAGCAGAAATGTCACACTAAAGACTGAAAAACCTTATTCAGACAAAAACGAATATACGAGGGTTGTTCATAAATAATGTCCTGAACTCTATGACACACAACATAGAAATCATATGACATTAAGCTTGCCTTTCTCTCATTATTGAATTTTTAATTAATTGATTGCAGTTTAAGTGACCTCTTTTCATCACATAGTTTCATTCTGAGAAGCTGGAAAACAAGGGCTATTCGAGACACTGCATTAAAATGAATGGTAAAGAATCAGTGAACTAGAGTGAAATTAAACGCTTCATTAAAGCTGCTGTAAAACTCGTTAAGAATCCAAAAGAAATATTCACTGAAATATGTAAAATTTACAGCAATCAATGTCTGTCTGATAGACACATGAGCAGGTGGATTTCACTGCACAAAAATGATATAATAGGCATCAAAAATGTGTACCGTCCTTGGCGACAGGGACTTACTGTTTGCCAAAATTCAACAAATTATCACTGACGATGTTTTGATTGACTTTAAGACGCATAGAAAAAGTGATAGGCAGTATTTAGGGGTAGTTTACACTATTTAAAAGAAACATTTGACAGTAAAAATATAGGTACTGAATGATCACCCCATGATTTGAAAAAAGAGCGAAATCAACAGCGTGTAAGAATATCTAAACAGTTATATTAAAAAAAATCAAATATTGTACTTGTCAATGTTTGTCTGAAATTCAAACGGATAATGAAACTTTAATCCATTGCTTTAAACCTCAAAACAAATTTACAATAAGATGCACTTGACAAAAACAGCAAAGGTCTGAGAAGAGCAAAGAATTGCAAGAGGACAAAGACAGTTTTATATGCCATTTTCTTAAATATTAGTGGTCTTGTTGTTCAAATTCTTATTTGGGGAGGCAGTTCAATTTCTGGAGAAGTCTAAAAAAAAAAATCAAAAGGTTTATGAGAGGATGGAACCAGAATCAGTAATTCACTACATTAAATTTCTTCATGACAGCGTCCAAAACCTTTCTTTATGAAGAGTGAAGGAATTTTGGGGATAGTTAATATTTTGTCACACCAACACTATTCTTCAGATCTTTCACCATTTGACTTGTTTCATTTTCCAAACTTGAACAAAACACCTTTCAGAAAGAAGAAACAGGTCCAGGAAATCAAATGAACTGCCATATACGTATACATGTATACCGATATACGAAGAGTCATACTCAAAAATGTGTTCTAAAAACAATCAGAAATTAAATTAAAATGTCACGGACAATGTCACGGACATGCGTTGTACTTAAAAGAAAATATTTAAGTAAAATCATTAAGACTAAATCATTGACAAGAGGGCCATGGGCCACATCGCTCACTTGAGCACTTTGGCCAAGAAAAAAAAGAGAAGAAATTAGTGTATTATTGAAAAGTTTGAACTCAAAAGTAGTCCCAACCATTTTAAAAGGGGAGAGGGTATGATTTGCACAACTTGAATCTACACTACCTGAAAATGCTTCCATATAAATATGACCAATCATGGCTTTGCTATTCTTGAGAAGAACATTTTTACAGAATTTTCCTATATATTTCTATGTAAAACTTTGGTCGGCCATTGTGGCCCCGCCCTTATACCGGGGGTCATGATTTGAACAAACTAGAATCTACACTACCTGAGGATACTTCCATTTAAATATTACTAATCATGGCTTTGTATTCTTGAGAAGAAGATTTTAAAAGAATTTTCCTATATATTTCTATGTAAAACTTTGGTCGGCCATTGTGGCCCCGCCCTTATACCGGGGGTCATGATTTGAACAAACTAGAATCTACACTACCTGAGGATGCTTCCAAATAAGTATGGTCAATCATGTCTTTGTTGTTCTTGAGAAAAAGATTTTTAAGAATTTTTTTTATATATTTCTATGTAAAACATTGATCGGCAATTGTGGCCCCGCCCAACCACCGGGGGTCATGAATTGAAAGACTAGAATCTACACTACCTTAGGATGTTTCCCCATAAGTTTGATCTTTCCTGGCATAGTGGTATTTGAGAAAATTTTTAAAACATGCCACCAAATTTTCACTATTTCTGAATTATCTCCCCTTGAATGAGGGTGTAGCCCTTCATTTGAACAAAATTGAATCCCCTTTACACAAGGATGCTTTGTGGCAAGTTTTGTTGAAATTGGCCCGGTGGTTCTAGAGAAGAAGTCGAAAATGTAAAAAAGTTTACAGACAGACCGAGAGACAGCTAGACGGTCAGACATACAGCTAGACTGACTGACGTCGGACAAACTGTGATCCAAAAAGCTCACTTGAGCCTTCGGCTCAGGTGAACTAAAAATGATTTTTGTTTCTTTCCGAGCATCGAGAACATTATTTATTGAACAGCCCTCGTATAACGAGCATTTATATATCAATGCACTGAAATCGCTATTACAGCCACTCACCTGAAAGTCTTATTGTCATTGAAAGGAGAAGGCATAACTAGTTTTCAGAACTTGTTCCCAATTTCTTGTACATGTAAGGCTTAAAAAAAAAGTTTGTTTCCTGTAACATTCCCATAAAATCAAGGGTCGGTAGGTCGGAAAATGGCTGCCTAGCGGCGGAAAACGAACTATAGAAAGTAGTAGGGGGAAACTGTTGTTACAATAATGATTACTCTTTATATTTAAGGTAAATGTACACTAAGTTGACAAATTTTAAGTCTCAAATTATGCTACAAGCTATTTTTTTTAATTTAATAAATGAAATCAGCTGATTGATCAAACGAAGTTTTGCCATTTGTCAGAAAAAAAAGTCCACCCGGGGATAATTTGAATGGGTCGGTCGGGTGACAGGAAACAAACATAATTTTTTTTTTAGGCCTAATCATATAATTTAATTATGCTCAGAATAAACTATCATCGAAAATTCTTACAAATCTTCCTATCATTATGTTGTAAATTTTGAATTTACTAGAGGGATGTAAATGCAAAAATTGCAAAAGGAAAACTTTGCTATTTCAGATAATTTTAAACCAATTCATGCATGTTCATTGTGACATAAAATAAATCCACGTTAAATTTACATTGCTTTGTTACATTTCCAGTTTCGCATTTGGAGGGAAAAATATAAAGTTATAAACATATAAATATTCTTTGCTAAAAAATTAGAGTAAAAGTTGATTCGAGTGTATCAAATTTGAAAATAGTTGTCATTCGGAGATAGAATACACCGGTATAATGTTTTTGCCATTCTTCAGTGTAAATTATTGCAGATCTAAGGTAAGAGCGTACCTCCTGTAAGAGACGTTCTTTCAATGCACACTTCCCTATGTACACCATTATAATCTGGCAGACAGTGGTATGTAAAGTTACAGTTCTTCATTACCGCTGCTCTGTTTTCCCAATCTTTCTTTATTTTAGGACACGTTGAGACTTTTCCCACCATAATGTCTAAAGCTGTTGGATTATAATAAGCATTCAAACATTTGAATCGGACATTGAGTAATCCCAGGGAACTCTAAAAAAAACACATTTTCGTACCCAATGTTTTCTGATACGCTACTCTCCTCATAAGCAGGATGCATGAGGGAAGTAGTGGTATTAGAAACCCTTGGCTATAGCGAAGATTAATAAAAGACAGAATCTATACCTCATCTGTTTCATATTTGGACGTTTTAGTGACTATGGATCTTATATCACCAACTAACAACTTAACATGACTGCATTTTTATTTGATTTAATTGGAATGTTTACATTATCTATAAAAACTATATACTCATTATAATAAAACAGAGATCAGTAATTTTTTGTCCAGCCATCAAGGGAACTACATGTAAACGAATTTAAATCTTCTATTTCTTACCAAAGTCTAGAACAAATCAAATTATAAAAAATTAAGATTTATTCAAATTAAATGAAATGGAATGTGCTTCTCACCAGACTGTTCGATGTGGACCTTCTGTTTGGAAGAAATCTTCTTTACCTGTAAGCACGAATTATGAAAATGTGAATCATATTTTGGCTAAACCTCAAACCTAAGACTCGTAATTAAAAAAAGATCTACTCTTAGTTATGTTTTGCTTACAGTTGTATGTATAAGATTTAAAGTTATCTTGCTCAGTCAGGGGTGGTACTGAAATCAGTCATTTTTGAAAACGATGGATAATGGTCATTTCTTCTAAGTATATAATGTACACAATTTTCTGATTTTTGTAAATATGACGTCTTTTCATCATATTTCCATTCTCAAGTCAATTTTCCCATCCCATTTACTACAGTAATTAGACATAGTACACTATCCTGCCATAGACCCTTGTGTAGAGAAACATCTTGACAAGTAATTGAAACCAAAATAATTTAGTGCGCCCCGTAAAACTAATGAGATAATTAAGTGCGCCCAGACCTAACAATTTGATAAAAAATGATGAAAAACAGTCATTTTTAATATCAGAGATAACTCTATTTCTAAAATAAATTTCAAGATAGAAATGACTGTTTTTCATCATTTTACTAAAAAAAGATGAATTTCCATCATTATTAAAAATCAATTTAATGACTGAAAATCATAATTTTCAAAAATGACTGATTTCAGTACCACCCCTGACTGTTGCTGCGCGTTTTAAAACTCAAACTTCCTTATTGATCATGAAGCCTTGCTCTTTGCTCTTTTCTCGAGGACCAAGGACAAGACGAGGACAAAAAAAATTGAATTTAAAACAACTTGAGAATGCCTGTATAATAATATGACTTGTCCGTATACTTGTAATCAGCAAATTTTTCCATATATATTCTCTTACAGTGTTAATTTTGATCACCTAATGCGGCTCAACCCAAGGGATTTACACAAACAATGATTAACCAGAAAAATTGTAGCACATCGTAATGACATTCTTTTAAAGTTCATGTAGTTCAATCTTGTTAATTCTGTCAGAAAGTCTTTATCATTGTTTACAACAAAGAGCTACATAAGTGATGTATTTACTGGTTGATAGACTGTATGTGATACGCTTGGGAGCGTGCAAAGAAAAGCAAAATTAATTAGCTTAACAGTTAAAGAATGTTATACCGGTATATTAATATTAAAAATTTCTAATTGGATTCACAAATATTAAGGAGGATATGGAGATAACGAACAGTACTCAATCTCAAAGTCCATTAAACAATAAAAAATAGGAGCAGAGCAAATACAAACCTCCAAAACATCAGAGGTGGGGTCAGATGCCATGGAGGAGTGAGCATCCCCTGCCGACCAGTCACACCCGCCGTGTGCTCCTTGTCATACTCGGAAAGTAACGGAAAAATCCGTCGTCAATTCAGAATATAAATAGTGGACTAACAATTAGTATCAAAAAACATTAGTCAGCATTTGACTCAATGATAAATTGTATTTGCTGACAAGGTCATGGTATCGACCATAAAACTTAAGAAATGATGACTTTAAATGAGACTGCTGATATTCTTGTTTCATCAACTTGCTTGTCAATAATTTACCTCGTTTTAGAAATTGTTCATACGTAGAGCATGCTCTGGTGGCTCTCTAATCAACCGAGATATATATATATACTCCGTATGCATGGAGGTGATGAAGGTATATTGCTGCATATTGGGTCTATGAACATTAATACAGTCGATCTAGTTTTACTTTATAAAAAAGATATATGTATTGCAATTCATTTTTTTATTCTTAGTTTTTGTAAGTGTGCATTTTAAACAAAGATACATCATTTACTACTAACTAAAATTTATGTCTTTGTTTTTGGGAGGTGGCTAAGTGTGCTTTAATTCATACGTAACAAATAGAAGCTTAAAATAGAAGCTTGAGTTTCTGATTGACAATATCTATGTGTTTTTTGGAGACCAGGTATTCCAATAATCTATTGGAATTCCAATGGGTACTAATTGCGCTCCGTTATTAGCAGACATATTTTGTATTCATATGTTAGATATATCGACGACGTATTGTCAATTAACAATGGTAATTACCATTCCTACGTCGATACAGAAGCTGTCAACACTTCCTACTAGGTTTATTTGTTTTTGGAAAGGAGTGTAGAGTCATATAATGGCGATTCCCCTGTGTGCTATTTAAATGTCATAAAAAGTAGTTTTTTTGGTTGGATGATAAAAAATTCTTATGAATTTCTTTTCTTTCTTGTTCCTTCACAGGGGAAAAGATCTCATGCAACAACTTAATGTTTTAATACAGGATCCACTGATTGACTCCGCATAACTTAATTCACTCCACTCAGCTTAAGATATCCAATGCCTAATAGGAACAAATTCAATGAAATTTAATACATAAGATATGTAGGCATTGAATACTCAGATATTTAGACACAATTCCCATCTATACGATGGCCGATATCAGCCATGACAGTTTACATACAAATTTAAGGGTAGCGTGTCAGTGAATTGTTTCACATGGCAGTCTAACCTTAAAGCAAAGTGGTAAAATGTACAAGCTGTCATTCCCTGATGTCAAGATACTGTGGCAAGATATACACTTTGCTTTTCGTAAAGTGTACAGCGTGTTCATACAACTTTGCTTGATGGCACTTTACCCTTAAGTGCAATTAAAATACTTTATATCCAAAAAAAAAACCAAATAAATGAATAAATAAAAAAAAGATAAGATCAACCAACCAGCATGGGGGAACTATTAGCATTGAGTAAGTTCGGTTTCTGAGACATTTATTTCGGTTGCGATCGGGGCCGATTACAAACATATATAATTATATTAACATATATAAACGTTAACTGTGTAAAACTATAAAATGATTTTTTTGTGAAAGTAAGGATATTTATAGTATATCACTCATGCCTCCCCCCAAAAGGTCCTTTGAACAGCTACAAAAGTACGCAATCTGAATACCGGTAATATCTTACACCTCTACCTAGTGAATGCCCCCTCCCCTAAAACAATTAAAGATTTTAAAATAAACAAAAATAACGAGTTTTCTAAACTTCTTGTAATATGGCAATGCTTTGCAGGTGTTATCTACCCTCTTAGTATTCTAAGGATTCATTTCGTCATCCTTTTTTTTTTATCAAAACGTAACTTGAAAGCTTTGTGAAAAAAATAATTTCAAAGGAATGAAATGATAATGTGATTGATTGAATGATTGATTTTATACTATCCATTCAAACATTTTTCACTCATATAATGAAGTCACAATATACCGGTGATGGACTCCAAAAATTTACCTTTACTGACACTCAGACGATAGATTTGAACATATTTTATTATGAAATAAATACATAAATAGATTAGGCAGCAGGTATATAGCCACATGTTTAAGGTTAATTAAAATACATTCTACTACATAGTTAAAGGTTCATAAATGTATATCAACAATAAGTTAAAGTTAAGTAACACAAAATTGGATATACGCATATGTTAAAAATCATTTTGGCCCCGATTGCGACCACAATAAAGTCTCAGAAAGTGCAGTTTCTCAATGTTAATAGTTTCCCATGCTGGTTGGTTGATCTTATCTTTTTTTTATTTATTCATTTATTTGTTTTTTTTGGATATAAAGTATTTTTAATTGCACTTAAGGGTAAAGTGCCATCAAGCAAAGTTGTATGAACACGCTGTACACTTTACGAAAAGCAAAGTGTATATCTTGCCACAGTAACTTGACATCACGGAATGACAGCTTGTACATTTTGCCACTTTGCTTTAAGGTTAGACTGCCATGTGAAACAATTCACAGACACGCTACCCTTAAATTTGTATGTAAACTGTCATGGCTGATATCGGCCATCGTACATCTATTACTATTGGCATGTATAGTGGGATGTGTTCCAATTTATGACCTTGAATTTTGGTGAGAGTTATCTCCCTCCTTTTTTTTTAATTAATAAAAAGATCAATTAAAAAATTTTAGCCAGTAAAAAATTGTTTTCAATTGTCATTCTATTTTTAATGTTTCAACGCATTTTTCATGCACCGCAGTATTTCTTGACATTCAAATTATTTAAATGTTTATGTAAAAAAAAACCGCTTTTCCCCGTAGACTTCGATGCAAACTTTGTTAATTAATTACTGCTTAATTAATGACATTTTTGAAACTTTCTCGTGAGCAATCCCTTTCCACTGTAAAATGCTTTAGTATAATATCTTGAACTTGAACTTTGATCTCATAACTGACAAAACAGTGAAGAGAAAATATGTGCATTATAATAAACAGGAAATATTAATACATGCATGTCAGAGTATTATATATATGTACTTGACGGATATTTACGGGTAGAGAATTTGGTCTTAATTTATTAGGGATGGAAAACTATGCATGTATTGCATCGTCGCAAATCATAACCAAAATGTACGATCCTCTCCCATTCTGACCATGGCTTGAGACGTCCGATGCATGTATATTGTAGAGTAATAATTAAAGAGTAAATAATTATTCAACTGTGTTTCAACTTATTTAACCCAGTGGGTCTTGGAAGGAATATTTCTTAGCAGAAAACCCAGCTTCATCCTCACAATGTCAAGGGTTTGTGATTTCTCGCACTCCACACGTTTGTGTGGAGTTCGAGAAATCACAAACCCTTGACATTGTGAGGATGACCCAGCTTATGCAGTGGTTCTGATTGCCTGGAAAGGCTAATGCATGAGTCATACACTGAAGGAAAACAGTCAGAACATTATGGTGCTTTTGTAAGAAAAAAAAAGGTACGGCTGGTAGCAGCTAGACTTTCCTACTTTCTTTATTCTCTATTTCAACAGATAAAGGTCCTTTTCTTTTCTTTTACATCATAACCGCACTAAAAACCTTTCAACCGTAAATATAACTCTTTAATAAATTGTGTACTGCAGATACAGGTTTATGCTAGCCTAGCGTCTACTTCTTAAATGGCCACAGCGTAACAAGATTTAAAAAGTTTAAACGAGGATTATGCATTCCTCACATTGGTTAATGTGAATGAATTTACTTTTAGTTCATAATTATTAATAAAAAGAACACTTACTTTCGTTAAATTATTCCTGGATGTTTGCCTTCCTAGATAAATGAAAAATTATTTATTTATACTGTTACGGTTCAACTGAGGTGAGCCCATGATCTAGATCGCAGCTTAAATATTGGCAACGTGTAATTCATGGACTGGAGGCTTGGAGTGGGGTTATGGAGTGAATTTTAAGTGGAGTTTGGAGTCAAATATCGGAGTCTAATTTTTTTTAAAATGGAATGAAAATAAAAAGTGTTAAAGAAATTGCAGTAATAAAGAAGTTTTTTTGCATACTTGTGAGCCATTTCATGCACTATAATTAAATAGATTGGCAATTTATACTATGACCTATTAAAGTTTGTAACAAAATAACTCCTGTTCTTTCAAAATGTTAGGATCCTGTCGAACATCATTAATCTATGAATATAGCTGACCTTACAATATGTTTAAATACAGTGTAATTGGAAGTGTCATCAAACCTGTCAAGAGCTATTAGGTTAAGAATTTATATAGCAATGTATAACCAGGTCGTTTTTTTTTAAAAAAAGTAATACTTTACTCACTTATTCATTATCTACCATGTAAAATTAAAAAATAGAATTCAAATTAAAATAAGTTACACTGTACACACATTATAACGCTATTATCATGATAATATAGTATGGTGTGTTAAAAGGTCCTCTTACTCCATTCTCTTTTGCATTAAAAGTGACATAGCGATTACCAAGAACATCTGTGATAGATTGTCACTATTTCATCCTTAGAGGTATCAAAATTAGATATGGGTCACACTGAACTGTAAAAGAAAGCAAAAGTGTTAATTGATCGTGTAGCATTTTATTATTATTAATATGTAAGGAAGCCGGTAGAGAACAGTGACTCGTAGTGATAATTAACCCCACCCAATTTAAAAGATGCTGATTAAATTGTGAATCATGATCATTTAGTTTTGATGTATATGGGCTAGTTTAGAATTAACTTAGTTCTCCACATAACAGCATGTAAATATATGTACTAAGATCATTACATTCTTTGCATTCTTCAGGAATCTTTATAAAATATTATGATCCCCCTTTAAATGGCATCAAAGTTCATTAAATTTCCTTTCTCTAAACTTCTAAATTGATAACATTGAAATATTTAGCCAGTTATAAGGGGGTATATAATAAATTTATCATTATATCAGTAACTTGCTTCGAAGAGCCGTATCACGTCTCGTTGACAGGCGCATAGCATCAGATCAAACTCGACGCTTCGCGTCTCGTTTGATCTGATGATTCGCGCCTATTAAGTCTACGTGATACGATCATTCAGCTCAAGTAACTGTTATTTAAGGAATCACTGCCTAGTTGGTGTCAGGGCATCAACGATAGTGGGAAACATGGGATAATTTGCATAACGGGCATCGCCAGTTATGCATAAATTATCCCATGTTTCCCACTATCGTGGATGTCCCTTGCATACTATACTAACTAGACAGTGATTCCTTAGCCCCTGACCTATCGACCTGCCTAATCTACATTCCGGTGTAAAGACGAATAATGACCCCCATCGAATAATGACCGGGGGTCATTTTTCGACAGCGAAAAATGACCCCCGGTCATTATTCGACGTAGAAAAATGACCCTTTTGCCCGTAGAAAAAGTGTCACTTCCCTAAAAATTTGCAGAACCCACGTGAAGAAAAATGACCCCCATAGAAAAATGACCCCCTGTAGATTAAAGCTAAAATTTTTAGGGGGCAAAAGAAAATTGGATAAAGAAGCATATTGGCCAAAATGCTCACCTGAGCTTATTAGGAATAAACTGATGATATGTTGTTCTCATAACATTATACAATTATAGCTATATTTTAAGGTAAATGCAATGATTCAGAATCTAAAGGAGTAAAAGATTTATCAAGCCTTAAGGGTTAGGTAAACATTGTTTTTTGATGGTGGAAATCATCGAACTGACAGAAAAAATCAGCAGTATTATATATTATTATATCCTCCACTTGAAAAGCGGGAGAGTATATAGTGATCGGGATGTGCGTCCGTCCGTCTGTTACGCTTTGAGGTATCCATCTCTTATCCGCAAATCCTCATATATAAAAATATGTGTTTGTGAAACAGCTATGCCCCTGTATGGCAACATAGCGAAGATTAAACTTTTCTTAAATGCAATTTAAATATTTTGTTACCCAAAGTAGGGTCTTCTCACAAGAAATACAACTGCAAAATAGGAAAGCCCTAGCACCACTTGTTCAAAAGTTATGGCTAAGGATAAGTTTTTGAAAGGTAGGTCAAACTCAAAGGTCAAAGTTGATGATTTCTTACGAAAATGTTTAATGTAACACAAGGATTACATACGTGAAGTATGAATACCCTAGCCCTTACCGTTCAAAAGTTATGGCCAAGGTAAAAAAATCATAAGTACGGAAAACTCGAAGGTCAAGGTTTTTAGCATCCAATGAAAGGTAATGCCAAAAAACTACATATTTGAAGTATGAGAGTACTAGTATCTACCGTTTAAAAGTTATGGCCAAAGTAAAAATTTGGCATTTTTGTGTAAAATGGGACAAACTCCAAGGTAAAGGTTAAAAGGTCAAATTTGGTTGTACCCAAAGAAAGGTCTTGTCACAAGGAATATACATATTAAATATGAAAGTCAAAACTCCAATAAATGAAAAGTTATGGTAAAGGTTAAGGTTTTTGCGGACAAACAAACAACCAGATAGACAGACGGACATACAGACGAACACGATAAAACTATATACCCCCGAATCTTCGATTATGGGGACATAAAAAGAAATGGTCTTCAATTAACTTTTCATATTGATATACATTATAAAGAAGACGTTACAACAATGAAAATGTTTGTTCTGATTTTCATATTAAATTCTCTGAAAAATATACTCAGAACTGAGTAAAAGGGTGGAGTAAAACAAGAATTAAGGTAGAACCTATGTCGGAAAAGTCTTTGTCACAAGATTTTCAAACTTTTCAAAATGATAAATTAGTACTTGCTTATCAATCAGTTAAGATATCATGATATGTTTCCTTTTTTTAAAATCTAGAACAGGCTATGAAACTTGGTATGGTATTTACATACTGCGCCTTCACATTTTCAAATACCGTATAAGTGGAAATTTTAGCGAGACGCAAATCTAGCGATTTGTCCTTAAAATCTGGTAATTTATTTTTAGCGAGATGTTAATTTAGCGATTTTAAAATGCACATTAAAGTAGAGATTAATATTTAGCGATATTTAATTTTAGCGATCTCGACACCTTCGCTAATAATGCCAAAATTAAATACTCGCTAAAAATTCTACTTATACGGTATTTTTAGGTACTTGTCATAAAGGGAATTTGAAAAATCACAAAAATACTTCTTCAAACATCGTCGTTTATAAACTTTTTTAACTGAATAATATTAAACAATATTTTATCAAGAATAATTTCTTTTTTATTCAATTAACACAAAAGATAAGTCCACCATTAAAAAAATAGTCAAATGAACTCTATTATTTTTAGTCAATTATTCACCCTATATTTGTAAATATTTTTTAGAAGTCTTTGTCACAATGTTTTCAATCTTCAATATGATGAAGAACATAGCCAAATGATTACAAAAAATGATTAAAATATATACCTTTCCCCTCTAACTAATGAAAGATAGGCTATATACATGTACCGATACTCATATTCTTGACCTTTTTGCACTTACACGGGATATAATAATTAAATGACTGTTTGGGGTTACTTTCAGATTTAATATTTATCATAAATTGTACTTTTACTTTAAAAAGATCATATTTAATAGAAAAATTTAATCAAACACCAAGAATATGAATAGGTAACAAATAATTGTTAAATGGAATGCACATCATTTCATTATAGATATCACAAAAATGTACACACGATCAAACGATCTACAACACGTACATCTTTGACTTAGACACATTTCATCAAGATATTACACTATATAGCTGGCAACTAAAGATTACTTACTATTTATGCATTCCTTCAAAATGGTTACATACCATTCATATTATTACAAAAGTTGTATGTACATTGTAATTTCATTACACTAGATAGTCTTGGGTTCGTCAACTTCAGGTCTAGATCTATTAAATAAAAGGTGCCTACATATTTCTCTTATTCCAGAAATATATTGCCATTAAGCATTATAAACCAAAAAATATATGTATTGAATTAAGATTATGTTGGCATGATTGAATTCTGTGAATTTCAAAATGCAGTATTTTCTACCATTTTTATTGAAGCTGTCAAGTACGGGAAAAAGTGGCATTGAATTAATTATGACATCATAATGGGTTAGCACAGGTTTAACACATTTGCCAGTTATGATGTCATACGAAGTAGGTTCTACGTTAAAAGAAATGTAATGAATACTGTGTGCTAAATCAAAAGTTTATTTCTACATGTATAGTTTTTGCATTAGAATGACTGTGTATTTTACACTAGCCCATAGCTTTACAGAGCATACTTTTAGGTCTTATACTTACCCCACCCCCTTTCTTATTTAGGAGGAAGTCGATCTTGAACAAAAGCAAAAAAAAAAAACCACCCTACCTTTATTTTTCTATAAGAAGAAATTAGAAATAAGCTAAAAATAATCTACTATTCTACTAATTTTTATCTGTTACTTTGCCACAATACTTTCAAGTACTGTAGACGTACTTTCTTCCACGGGGTCATAATTCCGCGGAATCTCAATTTCTGTTTAATCCGCGGGTAGAAAATTACGCGGATTCCTTACACTGTCACTATATGCCTTACATTTATATTAAGAACACTTGGACAAATTTCCGCGGAAAATTTGTGACCGCGTACATAGCGTAAATTAATACCACGTGGAAAAATGTACTTCTACAGTATACCTCCACCAACATTTAAAGTATGCTTTAATCATGGCGAAGTAAATTATGATATGATAGTACTTGTGTGAAGGCTTAACTTCATTTCAATATTTTATCTAGAGCCTCTTTCAGAATTATTGAAAGGTATAGAGTTTTATTTATATTTTTGCTTTTCATTTATTATTATTTTTTTTTGTTTTGATTTAACGTAATGTTCTTTTTTTT